TAATTTTCATGACAGAACCAAACACCCCTGGCAAGCATGCCCATCCAGGCTTTAACATCGGCGGCACCGTAATGAATATTGCTATCCCTGATGAGCATCTCAAGATCACCGCGTGGCAGGTATTCGAGGACCAGATTGAGGTTTTGATCCTTGGACGAGAACACATCGTGGAGTGCAATTATATTTGGATGAGAAAGCTCTTGGAGATATTTTACCTCTCGGATAGCGTCCATAGAAAGCCCATCCTTGTATTCAGCATTGACCTTGATCTTCTTTATTGCAACAAATGACGATGGGTCGGTGCGGAGGTGTCCGAGAAACACTACAGCATAAGTTCCCTCACCCAATTTCTTATCTGTGAGTTGGCCATAATTAGTATCGTAACGCTGGCACCACTGAGATAGTAAGGGAAAGAATTATAAAAATGACAGAATATGTTTGACAAAGGAATTAACGCAAGTGATGGGGGTTCAGTACCTTTTATGTACTTGTGCCTCACATCGTCGTTAAGTTGCTCCGTGATTTCACGGTCAGGGTTCTTCATGAGCCGGGGCGACGATGAGCGCTTCGCCTTGTTAGGTGAGTTGGTGCCAGAGTCATTCTCGAACTTGTTGCCTGCATTTGAGCTTGAAGCTGCAACTGATGAAGCGTGGGGGACCAAAGGCGAAACCGCCATCGTCTGCTTATATGCCCTCAAACCCAATGGATAGGGAGAGAATGATTAGTATCACCGACGCAGCAGCAGCAGCATGCCAGAGAGTGAAGATTGATGGGCAGTGAAAGTTAACAGCCAATAATGTCGGTCTGGCTGGCAAGGTATGGCACAAGTTGCCTTGAGTTTATATGAAGCTAGGATCAAAGTTCGGAGTTTTGTTGATCCCGGGACTTGCCCCGGAACTACGCATCCCGCCGAACTTTTCTCCAGGATGGTCGGGACCGACAGCGAAGGCATCTAACTCTTAACGACGCTACAAATCCGGACGATTATCAGCGACGGGGAAGGGGCCCGATTTTGTTTTTTCAATTCCGTACCCTCCCAGATCTCGTGTCTTTTAAAGAATTGTCGACAGTTTTCAATCAACATCTCCGAGACCGCATCGGTTGTCCTGAAGAAACCCCGACGACAAAATGGCGACGCGCAGCTCGCACCGCTTGTCCTTGCAAGTGATGAGATCCTTGACGATAAGCAAACAGTTCATGCGAAGTTTCCATAAGAACACGGGCGCCCCTTCTCCGCCGTCACCCACTCCCTTTGTTCCTGATGTCGAGACCTTTCTTAAGTTGATCGGTCGTGGGATGCACAAGCATGCGAGCAAGCTACCTTCCTGGGATAAGCTATTCACTTCCAGTTCCTCTGAACTTCGGGATCTAGGCATTGAGCCAGCACGCCAGCGACGCTACCTGCTTCGCAAGATGGACAAGTTCAGGCAGGGGATCTATGGGCCCGGTGGAGACCTGGAGAACGTGGTCGATGGCGTTGCGCAGCTTCGAGTTGTTGAAGTTCCGACACTGAACAAGGAAACATCGCACCCTTTGAATTCCTCGGCCACTTTATCTCCAGGGATGAAAAGAGTCATTGTCAACATTCCGCCGGATGCTTCTGAATACACCCATGATCCCACGAAATCCCTCAAGAAGTTTGCGCGCATGAAAATCACTGCCGGTTCTGCTATCAGCGGTCCGTATCTCCAACCGATCAAAGGAACAAATGGTAGTGCAGCCCTAATTAAAGTCGAGGAGGGCATGTGGGAGGACAAGCTCGGCCACAAAGTGGACGGTGGCGAAAGGAGACGTGCTGAAGTTCGGGCTAAGAAGCGAAGCGAAGAGAGGAAGAAGGGAAACTAAGGACCACGACACAGAACACACACATACTTGTCTTTCCCACCTCTGTTGTATCTTAAAGGGCGCTTATATTGCAGTCATGTCACATGTATTATATTTCATAGATTAACGGTTATTCCGGTTATTGACCCTTTTTCCATCGCGCTCAGGAAAAGTAATATATTTGTGGTAGAATGGCTGTCCCATATAACGCCTGTATGGGACAATTAGATTGGCTATAGATACATCAAGGCCTCTTCAAATGCGAGCAAATCGCGTACCCAGAATACAATCCTCACTCATAGTCAACCCTAGATCAAGACATTGGATTGAAGTACTGTACAAGCAGCCATTACATGAGAAAAAACCGGCCATTAAAGCCCCAAGGGAGAAACAAAATAAAAACAATCCCATGAAAGACTGTTATCCAGTCATTTCCATCATATTACATAAGAGGTTTGAGAACAATCACAAAAGGCGGTTTCTATGCAGTAACAGAGGCAGGTCGTTATGATTTAACGGTGGTAGCGCGCTTCTCAAATTGAATGATAGACTTGCCAGCAGGCTTGGAGAAGAGAGACTAGAATTGGTCAGCCTTGTCAATCGTGGCCAGAAAGGTCGACGCATGATCGCTTTGAAGATAGCGTGACTTACCGAATAGTCTGTTTCCGGGATATCCTTGACGTTTGGCAGGTTGCGGAATTTGAATAACCTCACCAAAGCCGCGGTAATTGCACCAAGTTGCACGTAGGCGAATTGTTCACCAATGCATCTGTGACGTCCTGCACCGAATGGAAGGTAGGGGCTATTAGTGCCTTTGCTGACAAGACCATATCCATAATCAATTTGATCTTCTTCTTCCGCATTGGCTGCAATAGTCTCATCCCAGCGGTGAGGATCCCATTTGAGAGGGTTAGGGAAATATTCCTCTGATCTTGCGGTAACACCAGGCGATGAAAGGACATTGTGACTGGTTGGGATGACATATGGCGTGCCATCCACAGGCATTGGGTTTTTGACTGCGCGGATGATTGAATGGATCGGCGCGTGAATTCGTAGTGTCTCTTTGATGACCTTAGCGTGCAAGTCAAGCTTCTGCAAATTTTCATAAGTAAGAGGTGGAAGATCTGACCCAAGCACACGAATCTGTTCGGCATATAACTCTTCCATGATTTCTGGATTTCTTGCAAGGTGCAAGACTATCCATGAAGCTGTCGATGAAGAAGAATGCTGGCCAGCCATAAGCAAGGCAATCATCATGTGTGCGATTTCCTCGTCTGGAACAGGAGTGCCATCTTTGTATACGCAGGACATGAGGTTCCAGACCATATCCTCAGAATCCTTCTTGTTTCCACCCGTACGGCGTTCTTTGACAATCTCCATATAAGTTTCAGTCATCTTTTTCTGTGCAGCATCACGTTTCCGGTTGTGAGGAAGGGGTGCCCAAGGGAGCATGAAGTTGATAGGAGCAAATCCCATGTCAAGATCATGGTATAGTTCGGCGAAAGTAGAATCAAACCGACTCCGGACTTCCTTTCCTTGAAGAGAACGTGACGCAGTGTAGATGGTAATCTCTGCGATGGTTTTGCAGACGTCAAAAACGCCACTTGATCCCTGGAAAGCCGCAGAATGCTCGACAAAGTCATCTACCTCGTTGGTAATCAAACGAACGTACGAACGCAGGGCATCTGATGTGAGACCGAATTTGACAAACTACAATCATTAGTGTACGTGTCATACTCTCTCCATGCTCAAGCTCACCTTCTTCTGCTCCATAAGTTTGGCATTAGGACAATCATACACCACGTTACGCCCAAAGACAGGGGTTGTAAGTGGAGAGTAGACTTCTTCAGCACAGACATCACGTAGCTTTCCGTTTAGGATGAAATCGTTGCCCCTGGTTCCCAGATAAACTGTTGTCTTTTTGCCGAGGAGAATGAAGGTGAAGATATCGCCGTACTGTAGGTAGACAAGAGTCAGCATAAAAACAAAAGATCGATACTTTCATATTACTGGTCCATACCTTTGCGCGACAGTCGAAGAAGAATTTATAAGGATCCATGCCATAGCTAATTGTACTACCTATGAATGGAAACCAGTGAAACACCAGAGGGGGCTCATTGGGGTTCTTGAATAACAACTGTCTTAGGACATTGAGAATGACGGAGACAGCCAGCAGGGATGACAGTCCGATCCCCAGGAGTACTAGAATTGACGTGTTCGAGCAGCGCTCGCAGAGGCTGTCGAGAACGACCGCGAGCAGGCCCATGATGGGACAACAGCGGAAACAGAATGACCGGAACAGACAATTGGAGTGAGTTGGTTGTGTTCACAAGGAAGAATGATTCAAGCGAAGGCACCTTCCTAGCCCTCGGCGTGGAAGCGCGACAGAAGTGTGAATTGCTTGCAACAGCGCAGGAAAGTGCACTTTTGGGTAAGTACAAGCAAGAGAGAAAAACGGCAGCACGCCACTTGCCAGTAAGTGAGCGCCCTTAGTAAAGTACTACTAGCAGCCTCGACCCGCTCACGGATTCTTGGTGGGCGTACCAATCTGAACGGCTCCGCGCCCGCGGCTCCTCCCCTAGCAGGAACTGGACAGTCCAAAAGTCTGAAAGGTACTGGTACTTACCCAGCCGCTCCTCCGAGTGGATCCAGGCCCGTTCCTGCCCCTGGTACTCCGGACAGCGTACATAGCCGTACAATACGAAATACGCATTTCGCTACCCAGTTACTCCTAATTAGTAGTTAAGAAACTACTACTAGTGGTAGTACTCCATACTAGTACTATTATATGTTCCCATTGTGTACTAGGGGCGCCGATTCATCCTATCCTCCCATGCTATAACTACATTGTGGAGTATATGACTCGTCCTAATCTTTAAAAAAAAAAGAACAAGCCCGACACTCACTATGTAAATGTGTGTGCCGGATACGCAACCCATCGATGCAGGTAGGTCTTGCATACAAAACAAGTAGGATTGTCCGTCTAATGAGGAAGCATTCCCTTGCAGCAATATGAAATCTCCACACACACACACACACACACACACACACACACACACACACTCTCTCTCTCTCTCTCTCTCTCTCTCTCTCTCTCTCTCTCTCTCTCTCTCTCTCTGTTTTGAGGGGGCCCTTCCTTGGTTCTTTTCGGATTTAACTCGCGCGTTTTATTGTAAATGTAGCCATCGTATGATATTGGGCCGCTCTTGGAAGTGTCCCTGGCTAGTAATTGAAAGCTAGTGCGGAGGTGAAGCTCCCAAGTCTATGTATGCTGTAGACTGTCAACTCAGGCTATTATTACTCTAAGTATTAAAAGTCGATTAGAGAGTAGACTAGACTTATGCCTATGCTCTCAAGTACTTGTAAAGCGCGCTAATGTCACCCAGCCAAGGAAGCGACAGTCCCTGAGAAATACACTTAAACCGACCTTGGTTTTTGCCACGGTCCACATACTCAAGTCGATGGCTTCGGAGAATCTTCAGTTGCAGAAGGCTATCTTCTCTTCAGTTACGCCCATTTTTCAGGTTGTCATCGAACAAAACTGGATCACCTTGTTCTCCAAGGTTGACGAAGTTATTCGGGGCACTTTTCTCGTCAGGGGATACTTCACGCTCTTGTGCATTCTTTGCTGGATGGTTGTGAACACGTTTCCCAGCATTGTTTTTGTGGAAAACTTTGACAGGAGCACCACTTTTCTGCTCATGTTCACTGTAGCCAACATCATTGATATTGCTGAGAAGTGTCCTTTCGCGAGCTAGCTTTCTTTTTGAGAAGTCTAGCTTTCCCAAAGCCCCAGTCAGGCCGTCTGTGCTGTCAGAAACACTAGGCTGCTTTCCTGTAATCCATGGGTGCTCTAAGCATTGATCCACCGTAATTCGGTCGTCAACGTTAACTGTGAGCATTCGGTCTATCAGATCCAATGCCAGATCACCCACAGTGTCCCAATACGGAGACGGATAGTCGAAGCTCCCTTGTTGTATTTGCTGTGCTAAAGTGTACGGGTGCTCAGCTGTGTATAATTCGTCAGAGAATGGGGGAAATCCGCAAAGGCATATGTATAAGACGACTCCGAGAGACCAGACATCCACAGCCTTTGTGTATTTCCGATAGCGCCGCTCCTGTAGTATTTCTGGCGCGACATCTACAGAATCAGTATTAAACTTCTGGCTTTCGAGCGGACTAGAAGACTCACAGGTTGGTGTGCCGCATCTTACCAAATATAATCGTTAGCACAAAAACTAAATAAGTTGGGAGTACATGCCATACAGTGTCGTAGTAAACGAGTCTTCACCGATAATCTTGGCTAATCCAAAATCACCAAGTTTCACTGTCAACTCTTTGTCCGCGACCAGAATATTTTCAGGTTTAATGTCACGATGAATGATACCTCGATCGTGCTAACACACTGCTTTAGTCGCTACTATCGAAAAATAAAGGGCATGGAGGTGGTAGAACATACCAAATACTTCAGCCCCTCAAACAATTGGATAAAGATGCAACGAGTTTCACTTTCTGAGAATTTCTGCCGGCTGATAATCAAGTTGAACAATTCGCCTTCTGGAGCGAGTTCCAGGACAAGATAAACGCCGTCGCTTTCATCGAATGTATCTCTGAGGCAAAGCAGATTCGGATGACTGACGCCCTTCAAGATACCGATTTCCTGATGAAGAACTTCGTTCTGGGAGCGCTGCGAGTCACCAGAACGTTTCTCAAAAACTTTCACGGCATACTGAGCCCCCGTAGACCGTTCTACGCAAAGGTAGACTGTGGCGAAATGGCCTTTCCCAAGCTGTTGCAGAAGCCTATATTGTTGGCGGAAACGATTGGTGTCTCGTGTCCGAGGATATCTGAAAACAAAACGTGCTTCATCTAGGATGGTGACCTCATCGCCATCTTCAAGTTCACGGTGTTTATTTTGGCCCACCATTGCATCATTGACAAAAGTACCATTAGTGGAGAGATCCTGGAGAAAGGCAACGGCATCGCCTTTCCTATTTTCGGAAAATACCAAAGCATGTCGATTCGACACAGTAGGAATGTTTATCACCAGGTCTGGTAAGCTTCGTTAATTGTTTGTAAGACAACATGATCTGGATACCTACCGCATTCAGGATGTCGGCCTATAAGGTAGCCGCTAGGTGAATTCTTTTGTTTACTAGCGGAACCCGCACTCGTTTTCGCGGACCCTTTCTTGGAGTTAGTCGTATATGCTGCGGATTTGTGCTCCTCGCATCCTCCGCGTTTCCTCAGTACCAGAGGACGGCGGACCTTATCATCAAGCGGAAGAAGGTATCCCCAGACTCCCTCTGCAGCTTCGTCTTCGACTTCATCGGCAAATGCTCTAGGGGGGTAAACAAATTGAGAAAGGGCTTGTGTATCGCTAGGAGGTGATGAACTATCTTGAGGGAGTTCCGAATCTGAAGGTGTCCGCCGATGTAATTTTCGGCCAGGCTCATCTGGTGTAGCAGTCGTCTCCTTTTCGATGTCTGTGGCAGTTGAATCTCGTTGGGTCAAGGGTGTAGGCAAATAGGACTGATCGTCTAAAGCCTGTGCTTTGCTTTGGGGATTGTTCCTCTCGGAGCGTCGTGGCTTTTTAAGATCTTGTGAATCATTATCGGCGGAGGCCTAGATGTTTACGCCATCGTCAGTCCAATTAGTCACAAGGGAATTGATGGTAACAGCATACTCTGCCACGCTTGAGGGAGCTTTTTTCGTTCTGTGGTGCCATTTTATTGCCTATTCACATCCTGTCAAGTACCAATAGTCACAAAATCAGCTTGGCTTGCACGGCTCAAAACTCAAATAAGGCATAGCAACCAGAGTAATAGCACTGCAGATATCGCCGGGTCTCTCCTATGTTTCGAGGCTAGGGGGGAAATGCTCAAGTGGAGAAGTCAAGAGGGTATGTATGAACACTGGAGAAAATACGGGCGAGCAAATCAAAGGGGCAGCAAGAGAACCGAAAAAGTAATTTCACTGGAAAACCTAGATTTGGCTAATGCAAAGAGATAGACAGAGCGATCTATTGTAGAACAAATCAAGGCTGCAGTGTACATAGAAGTAGGTCACAAACAACCTTGAGCGCGTGGTACCTCAGCTCCCGGTATGGGTAGGTCGCACCAAGCAACACCTTACGGCTTAAGTCGTCATTTATCATAAATACTGTCACCGCTTTCGACCCAGCACCCCTCACATTGTATAGATACGTGTGGAATTAAATCGGAGATGAAGGACATGTATACTCATAGACAATTTACTTAGCTGAACATTTCTGCCTCCCAAATGGACTTTAGCATTCTTGACTCAACCTACAGGTTCAAACCGCCTGATACTTGAATACTGTAGCACACGTACTTTGTAGTTGGTTCTGAGGTTGACTCCGATGTCATCAATTAAATAACGAATGGAGTAATACCGGCTCTGACATTGAACGACTTTTGGTCGCTAATATTGGGTACTATTCAAGATCATGTCGCGATTGACAAGTGTGTAAACTATTATATATGGTATACATACAAGCTTACATAGTAGAGAGACAGCAGGATCTGAGTGGAGAGGATAGTATACTATCATCAACCAAACACTGCATAGGAGCATAAATCACTATGTAAGTAAGACGGGTAGAACTCTGCATGAAATCCTTATTGGCCGTTGAAGTCTCTGGAGGAAGCATTCGCCTTCCCCAGATGAAAGCAAAACAGTCAATGTTCATGAGTGCAACACAGAAGCGTTGAGGCCCACGTGTCTGCCGTACCGAGGTTCTCCGGGAGGGAACCAGCTCTCCGTACTCCGCGGGACGCTAACACATAATCTCCTATCAAGGGGCTCCCCCTTGCTACCTTTGGCAATTGACATTAGTGCTCTGGAAAACAACAGTTTATTCGTCACCACACGCACTTAAAGCCGATAAACGCTAACTAGCTGCATTAATCTGGGATTATGGATGGGTAGGCTAGCTGCAAGTCTAATGGTAAAGTTTTGTGCTGATAGGATCCGTAGCCCCTCGACTATCAGAGCTTCGGCTTTGAATAGGCTTGCGGCATTAGCAGTCAAGGGACCAGAATGCGGCAGCGATTCAGACATCGCACGACTCGCCCAGCAGTCACTATGCCCCGCACACCCGTCGACCGATACCCTTAACGGTATCTTGCAAGCCCAAGCTCCTACATCGCGGGTGCCTATGGTTCGTTAGCTCCTTTTCTCTGCTTCGTGGGTGGCTTCTAGACTGACCTCTTCAGGGTATGAAAGAGCTAGACGTGCTGGTTGCTCTATGTAAAGCGTCTCCTTCCGTGACCAATATCGAGCATGCTTCGAGACTGGTATCACTTTTGTCACAATACCTTCCCGAATCGCATAGCCAACTTTTCCGCTCCTCACCCTTTCTTCACAATGTGAAACCTTCGCCCTGGGAGAGCCTGACTCATAATCTCACATTGGCTCTCCTCTCCCTGGGTTCTAGCCATCCACAGCTGCGTAGCATCGTGGCCGGTGCTTTCAATGAGTATCTGAGCAATTGTGCTGAAGCTATCAAAGCAGTTGCGCCCCTTCATCACTACCAAGCGGAAGCAAACAGTCGGGATGCCGAACATGAATCAACCAGCGTGCTATCGATATCCGCCTCTCTTGTCGGCTTTTTGGGAGCTTCGGCTGCACTTTCTTCATTCTGGGCTCCAAGCGAGAAGCTTCATTTAGCAAACAACTTGCGGTCGATGCTCTGCGAGCGGTTCTTGGTAGCAGTTGAGACTGCCTCGTCTATTGTGCGGAATGGAAGCATGCCTGGTTATCTGCTCAGGGAGTGGAGAAAATACACTCGCCGTTATGATGCCAATGGCCGTCCTCTAGGAGCCATGTTGCTCCAGGAAGGTTTCATCAGGTTTATCAAGTCATGCGTTACACGTGCGGCCGAGATAAATGGCATATCAGGTGTCGAGTTTTCACACGATAGCCTGCCTGAATTAGGCACCGCTACAAGTTCTGACGACACAGAGATCGCTCTTATCGACCGGGTGGCAGCCATCATCGCTGATGAGATCCAGCTCCTAGAAGATGGCTCGGATTATCTGCAACTTGGCTCCCCCTGGAAGCAACGACTTGCTTTTTCCATGAAGGCCCTAGCTCTAGTTGGATACTTGAATTGTATCATTCTGTGTGAAGATACAACGAATAAGGAAGACTTTGTATCATGGCTAGAAGACACACTTATGGATCCGAGACAGATGGCTTATGCTGAATTAGCAACAGCAGTTCTGACAAGCATGGCAGTCGTTTCGCGAGCTTCCATAACGATGGCATCCTCAGGGAGCCGCTCTTTGTTGAGATTCATCGTTGAAGGAGGTGCACCGACCGGTACCACCGGTTCTATTGCAGGCAAATGCCTTGCACATGTTCTCGGTGGTCTATCTCAAGATTCTGTTATTACTACACTCTACTCCCTAGGGAATGTTCTCAGCTCTGGCTCAGGCACTGACAAGTCGTATCAAAGCCATATGCTTGGAGATAGTTCCGCCCATGGAAATACACCTCTCGCATTTCCAACCACCAGAACTGGCAGTGTGGTTTCGTTTTCAGGTGATGACGAATCAAATAATCTTTCGTACAAAAATGTCGTCCGAGCTATTGTACAGATCGCAGCCAGCTGCAATGATGAGAAAATAAGCGCTTTGGCACAGTCCATGTTGCTACAGAAGATTGGGAAGGTGAATGCTACTATTGACGCTTTTATCATTACAGAAACAGCTGCTATATCACTGAGTACCGGGCAAGCCGAGTTTCAGCTCCTGCTCAAGTTCTATGATAGAGCATACCGTGATGGCATGGCCAGGGGCTACACCAGTGTTACTGATGCTGTTAAGAGTGCATTGGCATATCTCTCTATCACGTTGAAAAGAGACTCGCCACTATACGGTGTATATCTGGTTCATCTTCTGGAGAATGTCGTAAACAAGGGCGATGCTACCAATCTCGAAAGTGAGAGGCAGAAGGAGCTTGCTCTTGCAGCCGACGAAATCGGTCCTCTTCTAAGGCCCTTGGCTTTGCTCGTGTCGTCAGACCAGAAACAGCAGGATAGTGCAGATACTATCACATACTACGATCAGGATGTGTCTGCTCTATTCCGGGATGCATGGTTCAATATCGCAGTACATGGGATATCCATGCATTCAGCTGTTGGTCAAAGCCATTTTGAGGAGCTGCGCTTACTTGCCAAGCACTCTCCTCCCCTTGTCTCCGAAGATCGTATGGAGGCAACGGAAAGCGACGTTGAGTTGAACACAATCCTTAGGCGAGGAATGGGCTCACAGCGTTTGCAAGAGCAGAAGCGAACTCTCCTTGCTGAACTCCCTGGTCACGAGGCCGAAACAAAGCGATTAAGCTATCCGCAAGTAGTTTTCCTCAACGCTACGATCTTGGTCGAAAAGTTTCGTGCGCTGTCCGGCAAATGTACTGGGTTCCTTGATTACTTCCGCGACCCGGCCATAGCTACTACAGAAATGACCAGCTGTATGAGTGCGATTGCAGAGAAGGTAGTGGCCAGTTACCTTTCGCTGACGATGTCCGGAAAATCCGAAGGCTTCTCTGTTGCTTATCTATCAAGAGAACTAGCCGGCTTCTTTATCGCTTGCAGTCATCGTGTTGAAAGGGTACAGAACGTCGCTGTACTCTGTGCTAACAAGATTATAAACGAATGTCCATCGGCTCTGTGTGAGAAGCACTCCCTTTTCGCTTTGCTGGAGCTTCTGACCGTCATGTGGCGCTCATGTCTAGAAGGAGAACTCGATGAGTTTGAATGGAATCCGTCATTCACTTCACCCACAGGGTTGGTCAAAGCCGATCTACCCGACAACTATAACTTCAGGAAAAGAACATTAGATGTTCTGCTTGAACGATCTAAAACATGGGTAGCGGCGGCTATGGATATTGCGCCCTTGGATGTAAAAGGCCTGCTCCAGGTATGACATTCTGCTATCTAAAACTCCGGAAAGTGACTGACCCACCTTGTCAAGACATACCTATCTCTTTCGGACGACCATGCTGGATATGGCAACGTTCTGTTGGGGCGCTCTTTCGCGCTTGAGATGGGATCGCTTATCCCGAGCAGTGATCAACGTCTTGGTAGGACAACACTTCGGTCTTGACTCAGCTACTGTTTTTCTAATGTCCCCATGTTCTTCCAGGTTCAATGGACAGCCACGGACTAAGCAAGATAAACGTCGCTTCCGACTTCATTTCTCAGTATTCCACTCGTCAGAACTATAGAACTTTGTATGCACAAAGTGTCAGTGGCCCAACACAGGGACCTAATGGGCTTGGTGGTGGGTAATACCTCAATTTGTGAACGTTCAAGGTGCTAATATGGGATAACCAGCTCATAATTTGCTTTCCGGGTCTTTGCTATCTGCAAATAAAGTCATGGAGGATACGCTGTATCAACTCAACGCACGATTGAAGTCAGGAGAAGTTGTCCCTACCGTCGCCGTTCGTGATGTGCTACGGCAAGCTGCGGGCCTCCTGTGCAGTGATAATGACCCCTCTGCTTTCATTGCTCAGTACTTGGTCCAGATACCTTTTGAGATATTCTCGAAGGAGTCGATGGACATTGGTATACCCCTCTGGCTTGGAGTAATGCATGAGAATCCGAGAGTGGAGTCCAAAATCTTGGTAGAAGTTATTGGATCCTGGGAAAAATCGATTCAGCGCCGAAAGGGGCTGTTTGACCTAAACTGCAAGTAAGTAAAGATCGTCTTCTAGCACTTTCTGATTCAATGCTTATTCAAGGGTACATAGCTACGTTGATCCAATGTTCAGCAAGATCGAGCTGCTCCCCAGCGACAAAGCTCTGATGGCGAAGAATCAACAAAAATCCCAAGGTATCCTGACACCACATTTCCAGCTTCTGCAGTTCTTCGAAAGTCATTTTGCTGCTGTTCGGCTTGCAAACTTTCAGGTCAAGTCACTTTTCGGCCGTTTTGTTGATAAAACAAGTGTGGGACTATTGCAGGCCAGTGGTCACCCCCTGGCCAGGGAACTACATTTTCGTATTGTCTTGTTTGGACTACGGGTATTGAAGGACTCCCGGTTACCAGAC